CTTCCTTCCGAGGAGTGGCTGGTGGGTTTGAACCGCCAGCCGTCTGGTTAGCAGGCAAGTGTCTTAGCCACTATGCTACCAGAGCTCCTTAGTCAGAACTAATTTAAGTTGACTGTAGTTAAAACTGAGCAGGGTTTATGAAAGTTGGGAAAGAAAAAGAACATTGTGATTAGGCTTTTATATTCTTGATGAGAAAAAAAATCAAAACTCTATGCAGCCATTTCTCTATAAGATGAAATGTATGCAACATTACAAAAATGTTAGTTACCACAGCTAAATTCCAGGAGTACTCATTTTAGAATATGGCTTCTAAAATGTGGACAATAAAGCTAGCCTATGAATTATTTTCATCCAATTGTCATCTTATGATCGTAATTCTTTCCATCTGGTTGATCTACATACCAAGTAAACCCCACAGGCTCAAGGTTTTATCATTCATCTAAACAAGTAAACAAATAATTAAGGTTTAGAAATAAAAGCAAAGCTTTATTTTATCTTATAATAAAAATCTTTTTTGGGTTACAAAGTTAAATTTTGAAATAAATAATTCCAATATTACCAATTTTCTAGAATATTTCTGTAAAAAATATCAATTAGAATAATAGCCCAGGCAATGGCTTTTTGAGGTATACTAAGAATTACACAGGGAGCTCTGGTAGGATAGTGGCTAAGACACTTGCCTGCTAACCAGACGGCTGGCAGTTCAAACCCACCAGCCACTCCTCAGAAGAAAGGTTGGGCAATGTACTTCCATAGTGATACTGCCTCAGCAACCCAAGGAAGGGTCGCTATGAGTTGGGTACGACTCGATGGCACAAAACAACAACAACAACAAGAATTATACAAAGGTCTAAACTTTTTTAATTGTTGAAATTAATCTGGAAAAAAAAAATTTACTCCAATCTTTTCTCAGAAAGAGAAGGATTTTTATTGTTTTTCCCTTTCCAGTTACCTAAGTTACAACAGTGGCTGGCAAATGCAACCCACTGACTATTTTAAAAAATAACATTGTACTGGAACATAGCCATTCATTTACACACTGAATATGGCTGTTTTCATGCTACAATGTTACAATGTTATAGTTGAGTAGGTGCAAAAGAGATTATATGACCTGCCTGAAATACGTGCTATCTGGCCCTATACAGAAAAAGTTGGCAAATCCATGAATTAGAGTATTTCTATGAAACCAATGTCTCCAGACCGGGGATCCAGTTACGTAACATCGACAAAGGAGGATCAGTTTTTTTGCTATCTGGTTTGAAACCTGTGTGTGTGTGTGTATGTTATGTGCCGTCGAGTTGGACCCGACTCATAGCGACCCCTCCTTGGGTTTCCAAGGCGGTATCACTACGGAAGTAGATTGCCCAACCCTCCTTCCAATGAGTGGCTGGTGCGTTTGAACCACCAGTCTTCTGGTTAGCAGTCAAATGCCGTAGGCACTACGCTACCAGAGCTCCCAGACCTTAAAATATTTGAGATCTAGCAATGGAAAGAGGGTACTCAAGGAATCTACCTTATTTAGAATATCAGCTCTTTCAGGATAAAAGTTAAAAGTTTACAAGAATTAACTCCTTCTCTCATTAATAGTGTTGTATTGATGTAGATGGCTATGGTGTCTAATTAGGAGTAGATGAGAAAAGTTGCTCTAAATTTAAGCTAATAATAACTATAATAAAATAAAAACTGTAAAAGTTTCACTTTTTCAATCAGACTCGAACCCAAGTATATTTTATTTTGACAGATCTAAGATTTTGGGAGCCAGCTATGTAACTATAGCACATTAATAAACAAAATATCCCAAAAAGATTATAGATTTTTCTTCCTCTTTCCAGTCAAAGACAATGGTTCTTTATGTGTCACTTTTTTTTTTACCCTGGGAAAACTACTATTTTGAAACAAAAGTAAGTAAAATTTTCATAATTGAGATTCTTAGAAATTATAGAATTAAGATATGCTCACAAATAATTCACTGAAAAACAATTTTGAAATACAGGTATGCACAGCTTAACGTCCAAAATATGTTCTGTGAAACAGGATATTATGTGGTTTGGACATTGCATAAACATCATATTAAAACCTATGGGAGGAGACTTCCAGTAAAATGGAGGACTAGGCCCATAAGCTACACAGACCCTCTTCAACAAAGCAAAGAGAAATCAATTGACAGAGATACAGAAGATAATCCTAGAGCCCTGACCTTTGAAAGGAACTATGCAGAAATGGATTAGGCACCAACTAGTGGAAAAACCTGAATGAAAACAGTGAGCATGGAGACAGTTGCAGCAGAGGACTGTCAGCCTCTCACGGAACCAACAGCCTGAATATTTCCAAGTGGTTTTGGGACCTGAGAATTGACCTAAAGATCAGCCCTGGTCACCAAGGGCTGCAGGGACAACTGTGCCGGTGGCCTATGACTGGGAAGGGTAACAGCAAAGAGGGACACAAGCTGAGCTATGGACTTTCAGCTGTCCAGAAGGTACAGCCATTTGATTGTTTACAAGTGGTGGCCATTTTGGATATTTAAAGTGATCGAGGGTGCAGCCATTTTGGATATTTACAAGTGGCAACCATTTGGGATTTTAAAGTGACAGCATTCTTATCCAGAGTCCAGGGACCTAAGAATAACCTCCATTTGCCAAGGATGGCAGCGACATATGGGAGGCTGACAATGGGAAAGGTGGTGAGTGTGTAACTGCTGTCACCTAGTGAAGAGAGGAACACAGCACAGTATCCTACTTCTGTAGATAATACACACACAAAAAAAACAAAAATCATGGGCAAATCACTCCCATATACTATCACCAATTAAAAATAAACACAAAAATGTCACAATGCCTTGGAGACAACAGAACATCACAGACCACACAAAGAAGCAAGATAAAGCAAAAGAAACAAGGGACTATGACAGAGACCCAAAACACTTCCCTGAGGAAGATGCAGCTTTGGAAATCTCTGATAAGGAGTTCAAAAAAATTATACTCAGGTACCTTCAATGGATTGAGAGACAGATAAAGAAAAACACAGAGAAAACCCTAGAACAACTTCGAAAGACAAAAGAACAAAATAAATGAGAAATTAGAAATGTTAAAAAATCTAGACAGACAGAAATCCAGAAGAGTAATACTAAATTTTCAGAAATAGATAACACATTCAAAAGGCAAAGAAGTAGAATTGAATCAGTGGAAGAGAGAATTAGCAAGACTGAAGACAAATACCTTAATACTTCTTTAGAAAGGGATCAATCAGAAAAAAGATCAAAACAAAATGAAGAAAGCCTAAGGTTCATGTAGAATACCATCAAAAGGAATAACCTACATGTCAATGGAATTCCAGAACAGGAAGAGACAGATAAAACCACAGAAAAAACTGTCCAAGATTTGCTGAAAGAGAATTTTCCTAGTATGATGAAAGATGAGAATATACCCATTCAGGAAGTCCAATGAACTCCAAACAGGATAGATCTCAAAAGAAAATCATCAAGATATATCATCATCAAACTCACCAAAACCAAAGACAAAGAAAGAATCTTAAAAGCTGCCTGGGAAAAACAAAAAGTTACCTATAAGGGACAACCAGTAAGACTAAGCT